GTGTTAAAAACAGTCATCAGTTCTTTTACAGCATTGATTTCTGGATTATCAATGTGAATATTAAAATCCCCAGCAATACTAAAATAATCATATTCAGATGTTACTATTGATAACAGCTCTGTAAAATCATCAATAAAAGCTGGAGAATATTTTGGAGGTCTGTAGATAATGATTAGTAAGATGCGTGGAGACCCTTTTAGTGCTATACTCAGATATTCAAAAGACAAATAGTCACCAAATGACACTTGTTTACATTCATAGACATCTTTAAACAGGGCAGCGATGCCTCCACCTCTCCTACTAGCTCTGCAAACACTCAAAAAGTCAAAGTTTAAAGGAGCTGCTTCATTCAGAACTGCTGCGCTACAACTGTCATCTAGCCAAGTTTCATTTAAAAGCATAAAATCAAGGCAATTTGTGTTGATAAAATCATTGACTAAAAGTGACTTATTATTGAGTGATCTGATGTTTAGAAGTGCTAACTTAACAGTTTTAGTCGTTTTCACTACAGAAGTCTCAGATATACATTTAATAGACACCAGATTTGAATGATTTGCTATACGGTCTGAAAGAGTCTTTGGTTTTCTGTCACGTAATAAGACACATATCTGCGTAGAGAAAGCTACAGACACACTGGGTTCCTGCTTGTTCTGTAAACATCTGATAAAGACACTGTTACCTAAGCAGGCCCCCGAGACACATCAATGGCAGTTTTTAAGTTCACCAGCTAAAGATGAGGTGTTTTTTGGGACCTGGCGCTGTCGCAAAGACCTGAGGCCTTTCCTAGGTGTAGGGCGAGGTGGGCTTAGAGATGGGCGTGTGGCTTGCTGACTTTTGGTTGCTAACTGGGGGCTAGCAGCAATGGAGTGTGAGAGTTTAGTTCCAGCACACACCAGTTCCTCCATCTTTTTTGAAAAATCCAAGAGAGGCGAGCAAGATGACAATGAGAACGTGTCCGGTGACAGAGGCTGTGGGTCTGGGGTTTCTGGCTGCTGAGATATGTTTACCTGGTTGTTTTCCTGGGGATCATCAATGAGTGCTGAGACTTGATGCTGTTCTGATGCATCACAGTCTGCCTGTGTTGAGCTCAGTGTGCAGGGTGCAGACGGCAGTTTGTCCGTTATCGGCGGTTGTTGTGGCTGCGTGGTGTTATCTCTGTCCTTGTAGGATGCGTCAGCCACAAGTCCACTCAGGAGCTGATTTGAAGTCCTGTGGTCATCCGGACATTTGCTAGGTGTGTGTGTGTCATTCAGTTCAGTGGCATACACAGCTGATGGATGATGAAGGGAGAAGAGGATGTTGTCTTTCAGCACTTTTGCACCAAGCTTGTTTGGATGAAGGCCGTCTGATGTAAACAGCTGTCTTAGGTTCCAGAAGAGATTGAAGTTGTCGATGAAATTCAGTCTTTTCATGTTACATGTTTTCTGCAGCCATGCATTTAGACCAAGGAGCCTTGAAAACATATTTGTCCCTCTTGCAGGGAGTGGTCCACTGATGAACAGCTGAATTTTCAATCTTTCAACTGATTCCAAAAGCTTACAGAAATCTCTCTTGAGCAGTTCTGACTGCTCCTTCCGAATATCATTCTTCCCCACATGGATGATAATCCGTTTTGCAGTCTCATGTTTCCTTAATATGTTCTCAAGTTCTTTATTTATATCAGAAACTGTAGCATGAGGAAAGCAGTATGTCATGGTATCTCTGCTCCTAAAATTTTTGATTATTGAGTCTCCAACAATCAATGTTCTTATCTCTGTTGCGATCGGAGCAGAATGCCGCTGTCTAGTCGGCCTTGAGCCTCTGTTCAGAGCAAAGTTAATTGCTGAGTCATGCGATCTCTGTCTAACTGCATTTGGGGAATCTTCACCCATATTACTCAAAACTTCATATCTGTTCTGAAGCTGTATTTGAGTCCGAGCTGTATTTGGGGTAGAGAACGCTAATGCAGCAGCGTATGACCTTCGTGATCTGACCCCACGAGTACCCTTTGGTCTCGCACCTTGTTTATGCCATAGTTCACGCTGATTTTCAACAGTTTCAATCTGTTTTTCTGTTCTCAAAACAGTAGCTGGAGTAGATTTATAGGGCTTACCGGCTGAATGCTGTGAGGCTCCACGATGAACCGGTCCTGTGTAATTCGGCAGTTCTGGTTGGATCGCAAGTAACTTTGTTTCAAGAACTGCAATCTTTTGTAAAAGTTTGTGGCAGTTGGTGCAGCAGTGAGATTCCAAATCAATATGATCCAGAGCCATTTTCACAGCCGTGTTTTCCCGTCTCAGGAATGAAAGCAGCTGGTAGCGGGAGGATTGTTTAGACGATAATTCCTCTAAATAAAAGTAAAGTTGTACTCCAGAAAGTTTGTAGATTCGATGTTGATCTTCAAGCTGTTTCGTTTGAGCACTGTGCTGATAGGCTCAAGTTAAAATTAGATTATAAAATAAAAAAGCAGGAGTGCAAGGAGCGGAGCCGTAGGCAAAGACGTCCGAACAGTAGCAAAGCAGGAAGCAGGAAGTAGGAAATGAGGCATCTTCATAAAATGCCTGAGGGATGATTTGCATGAAAAGCTACTTTAAAAAAATGATAAAAATATGGGACAAAACCTGTCCCATATTGATTCAAAACAGGACACGCAATTTCATTCTCAAATACGGGATGGGTGGCAACCCTAGCAGTAACGTAACAAATAACATTTTACAATCGTGCAATTTGATTAGTTACTAAAGTCGATGTAATTGTGTTACTTTCATTTCAAATAAAACATTTAAAAGAAAAAAAATGCTTCTTTTTAATAAGGATTTCCGTTGCAACGTTAGTTATTAAGCATGCGCTTTAAAACTGCTGGAGAACGTAAGCAGAAATCGCTGCTGTCAAGAGAAGGTGCTTCTTCAAATGTAAATTTAGACATTATTTTGATTTTATGTATGTAAAAACACAAATATTACTGTGAAGTTCAGTCAATATTCAGTCTCTAAAAACTTATGACTGCTTTTAACTCGACCAGAAAGTTGTTTAAGCCCTTAAACTGTAAGCATTTCAAGACAATACTCATCATCAAGGAGGACACCGGCTCCCAAAAACACAGCGCCCCAACTCAGTCTAAAGAGGCTAAATTGGATTTTTGTGCAGGGTCAGGAGTGAAAGTATTTTGTGAATGTGAAGAAAAGCATAGCTGCTTATGGGGCCATTACCATATTGGGTCTTTTGCACATGCGCACATTGGGAGTGCATATTGCGCATGCTTGCATTTCCCAGAAGCACCCAGTTTTAAAAAAAAAAACACGTCACGTGACAAGAACTGACTGATCAGCTTTATACTTTGAAAGGAATATACACATTACAGACTAACTACCTCAGACAAACACAGAACACCCAACCACTGCAGTGCTTTTTCATACTCTGCATGTCAATGGTTACAGGTATCCAGTTTTCTTCATGTTCTTTTTTTATTTTCAAAAAAAAAAAAAAAGGAATAAGTGAACGATGAAAGAATGTTAACTCTTTAGCTCTTTTGAATATGTCAAGCTGCTGTGATCAACCCATTGTAATGTTTTGATGTAATGTGTATTAAATGTAATGTGAATATTATTTATTAGCAGAGCTGCAGTATATGTTGTATTTTTATAGATATATTTTGTTTTAAAAGTAACTTCAAAGTAATTAGTAATATAATCAGACTACATTTTTTGCGCAGTAATCATTTGGAATCGTTTACTTTTTAAAAGTAAATTACCCAACACTGCTAATAACATACTAATTTGTGCTCAAATCATGCTAGTTAACAACATGCTAATTTATGAAAGAAACATACTAATTCATGTTGGAACCATGCTAACATGCTAATTTATACAAGAAACATGCTAAGAACATGCTAGGTCATGCTAATTTGTTAGAATCAAGCTAATTCATGCAAGAATCATGCTAGAACCATGCAATTAACAGCCACAGACACAGAGATCAACTTCAGTCTTTAAAGTGGTTACATTGTTGACTGCAGGGATTATTCTTTTAGCCAATTTGATAATTTTTTTAATCGGCTGCTGTAAATAAACTAATTCCAACAGGCTTTCTCAACCCACCATAAAGTTTATCCTCATCTTTAATATCTAGTACTAAAGATACATCTTAAAAAGGTAAAATTACGCTAAAATCACAAGATATAATCTAGGAAAAAGGGATATAAACGCTGAGTTCATATATCACTATTCTAAATTGTATTTACAGAATTGGGAGATACAAACTCCTGAACTTAGTATACTAGAAAAAAAAACAAGATATATGGATTTTTACTAATTCTTGTAACAATTGTTTTTCTTTTTTGAGTTTACACCATCTTGCAATTCTGTTTGTAAGGTCTAATTTATAGAACAAAGGAACAAATTAAAGGGATAGTTCACCCAAATATGACAATTTTGATATTGTTCATTAACCCTTCACTTGATCAAAACCTGTTTGAATTTCTTTCAACTGTTGAACATAAAATACATTTTGAAGAAACTGGAAACCTGTAACCATTGACTTCCATAGTATCTATTTTACTACTATCAAAGTTAATGGTTACAGGTTTTCAGCTTTTTTCTATCTTCTTCAGTGTTAAAAAAAGAAACTGGTGAAGATTCATAACCATTAAATAGTGTAAGTAAATAGACTAAGTATTTAAGTACACTTTCATTTTTGAACTATTCTATCCTTTTTCTCTTTACCCATTTTTAAAATGTGTTTGCAGGAATACATCATCATTTTTGAGTGCTGATTGCTCAAGAAACTGATTTGTTAGCAAATAAACTGACAATATAGTAACAGTCGATGTAAACCTTTCCAAGTCAGCGCTCCTCAACAAGGCTCAAGATTTTTAGCTATCCTTCAGCATGAAAAAATGAGCTGAATTTTTGGCTGGAAAAATAACTAAAAGCCTCAGAATAATAACAGGCAGGCTTTGCTCGAGCAGGATCCGCTGTGTCTGAAAGCACTGGGACTGCAGGGAGATGGAGAGAGAGCTTTACCTGGTGTCCAGCGGCGCTCACGATCCTGTGTGTGGAGAAGGGAAATGCTTCATTGCTGAGCTCTGAATCCAGCACCTCCTGCAGCAGCTCACGACTATCAACACACAAATCACACACTTTACTGACACTCTACTGCCAAAATCAATACAAAATCAATAAACTTTATACCAATTACACAAGTTCAAAACTTCCCAAGAAGTGTTCAGAAATATAATTCAATTGAATAGTTAGCAGAACTAAAATAAATACGTTTCCTCAAACGCTTCGAATGTTATAACTCGATCGAATGGGCATTATCAGCTGATTTATATGGGGGCTTTCTGCGCCTACTGTTATCATCCATTCACATGGTTAATCAGCTATACTAACAGAGAAGCCTCCAGTATCCACATCTGTTTTTAAATTACTGTGACTGTTGGGTTTAGGATGGGGGTAGACATTAATAAAATAAAATCAATGGTAAATTTTATAAATAATATAAATAATTCTCGTTAATTTCCAGCCGCAGCCGTACAGTATTGCTGCGTCCCAAATGGCACACTATACACTATGCACTATGTACTTATGCACTTACACACTCAACAGCATAGTATATGTATGTAGTGTCGTCCCAAATGGAGCACTAATGTTTTTTACTAAGCGGAAATTCAACCCGTTTCTCTGATGACGTTTGATGGTTCCCAAACTATTGAAATAAATGACCAGACTATCAAATAATACCTGCCATGAGTATAACACCATTCTCCATCGGGAGGCGCTATAATAAATAAAGTTATCCAACATGTGCAGCCGATAGCTCCGCTACGTGTGCAAACCTGCTGTCGTTGAGTGTGTGAAGTGTTCTTCATGACACACTTCAGTTTACCGGCTGAATGAGTGCATCATCCGGGTAATTAAAGTGCTCTTATTATTTTTTAGAGTTTGCAGTGTAAACGCGCTACTTACACTATCTATACTACAAAATGCCGTAGAATACTGCATAAGTATGTGATTTGGGACACAGCTTATGTGATCTATAGCTGTTTAACCATGTGGATGGATAATCCACACAGAAGGCGTCACTGGTCCATATCTGTCAGATAACGGCTGATAACGCCCATTCAATCGAGTGATCACATTTTAATCGGCTGGTTTCCTCCTATTGGCCAAAATCAATTCTCAAGAAAGCAGCTTTATTTCTCTAACCAATACAAGTTCAAATGCTCACGCAAAGCATTTTCATAAGAAGTGTTTAGAAATTAAATGAAATTAAAATCATGCAAATACATTTAATTTTAACTAAAAAAAAATATAATGATTTGGCTAGGTCAGTTGGCATTTCTGTGTGGAATTTGCATGTCCTTCTCGTGTTCACATGGGTTTCCTCCAGGTGCTCTGGTTTCCCCACAGTCCAAAGACATGATGTTTAGGTGAATTGGGTATGGTAAAATTGACCGTAGTGTATGAGTGCGTGTGTGGATGAGTAAAACATATGCTGGATAAGATGGCGGTTCATTCCGTTGTGGCGACCCCAGATTAATAAAGGGACTAAGCCGAAAGAAAATGAATTAATGAATAAAAGAATTTGAACACTTCAGCTCTATTGCCAACCTTAAACTGTAATTTAAATTTAAAATAGAATAAAGATTAATAATTAGCAAAAGTAAAATGAATATACTTGCCTCCTTTTTGAAAATTTTTTGAATATTCATTTATAACTAGAAAAGCAAAGTTTGTCGACAAACTTTATGGTGGCTTGAGAAAGCCTCGTCTGAAATTTTGAAGTAGTTTTAAAGTTTAATAAATAATTGAAGTAGTTTTAAGGAAGTTTAAAACTGTTCACATAGAGAGATAACTAAATATATGTTAGCATGTTTCTAGTATGGATTGGCATGTCTCTTGCTAGGTGGTTTCTAAGGTGTTCGGAGGGGTTGCTAGGTGGTTGCTAAGGTGTTCTGAGTGGTTGCTAGGTCGTTGCTAAGGCATTGTTAGGTGGTTGCTAGGGTGTTTTGAGTAATTGCTAAGATGTTGCTAGGCAGTTGCTAAGGTGTTGCTTGGCAGTTGTGAAGGTGTTCTAAGTCATTGCTAAGGTGTTTGTAAGTGGTTGCTAAGTTGTTGCTAGGTGGTTGCTAAGAGGTTGCTTGGCAGTTGGGGTGTCCTTGGTAGTTGCTAAGGTGTTGCTATGGTGTTCTGAGTGGTTGCTGGTTGGTAGCTGAGGCGCTGTTAGGTGGTAGCTAAGGTGTTGCTAGATGGTTAATAGGGTGTTCTGAGTGGTTTGCTAAGGCATTGCTAGGTTGTTGCTAAGGTGTCTGAGTGGTTGCTAGGCAGTTGCTAAGGTGTTCTGAGTAGTTGCTAGGCAGCTGCTAACATAAATTAGCATGGTTATAGTATGAATTAGTATGTTGCTAGCTTGTTTTATGTATAAAGTAGTATGCTGTTAGCATGAATTTAGTATGAATTAACATGTTGCTAGTATGTTTTTAGCACGGATTATCATGTAGCTAGTATGTTTGTTTGTATGTTGTTAGTATGGATTGGTGTGTTATAGTGTGTCCAATGTTAAGTCACTGGGAGGTTTTTTTTATAATGAAAGTCTATGGGACAGCTGCTAAGGTGCCGTAAGTGGTTGCTAGGGTGTGGCTAGTAAGTCGAAAGCTCATCAGTGACTGGTAGAGCAGTATTCTGAGTTAAATGAGCTCAACCTTAGTCTGTATGACATGTTACAAAGTTTAGTCTAATATCAAATCAATGGGACTTTTCTAAATTTTTCAGGTCAGTTTTTGAAAAACTAAGTCGGATCAGTTGGAAAAGATATAGCAACATAATTCAGTATAGCTTGGAGGTCTGGAGTTTAAGAAGAAGAAGAAGAAGTTTATGTAGTATAACAATATGTTGGCTTTCTCAAGCCACCCTAATAAATACATAAAAATAAAATTAGATTAGATGTAATTTGTGAAACCAGTTTCCCTAAAAAGCATTTTTACAACTAACCAACACATATATCTTAAAATATTTTATTACAATTACAAAACGTTTCATCAAAGATGTTTAAAATTATATTAGTTTTATGGCAAATTAACTCTAACAATTAGTTTAAAAAAAAAAAAACATAAAAAAATGTATTTACTGAAATGTCACTAAACGACACAAACAGAAAAAAATCACAAAATAAAAAGGACTAAATGTAAAAGGGCATACAGAAGTCAGCATATTAACATAAGAGCTTTGCGTATTAATATTATAGCATGCTGCTGTTTATGGAGTCCAGGAAAATGAGTCTGTCTCACCATTTAAACCCTTATTTACTTTTGACCCGGTCAGCCATCAGTCTCTCCATCACTGTTTCCCTCTATCAGACCTTTCTATTTTCAACCTACAGCCCTCGTCTGACCTGCTCTTTTCCAGAGAGAGAGAGTGTGCTTGTGTGTTAACCGTGCATTCATAACGCTTTGGGGACCAGATATTCCAAAAAGAAAACAGGCCAATATAGCAGACAAAATGAAGTATTTTGAGAATGTAAAAACGCAGAAGATTGGGGTAGGAAGACAACATAAACAGTCTGTAATGTAAAAAAATCTTCGTCTACGAGAAGACCTCATAAAAAAATCTGTACTAGTGTGTGTACTGGCTTATATAGATTATGAGGACACAAAGTTGTATAATGACATGGGTATGCCCTAGTTGTACTCTATTATTATGATTGATGAGGACAAGGCTTGTTTTCTCTTAATTCAAAATCACATTCAAAGTTTTCCACATAATTCTTGTGAGGGTTTGTTTTAGGTGCATGGCCATTAAGACCAATCACAAAAACTACACATAAAAAACTGATATTAAATATGGAGTTCTAAAAATTGTTCTGAATGTAAAACAGCAGCAGAGTTCAGACCACAAATATACACAAAAAATATCAAAACTGATTCCTTGGATTTATTAATTTTTTAAGTTAAGTGGTTGTAAACAATTTATTTGGGCTGGATTTAAACAAATTAAGCTGAACATTACTATATTTAATTTACTTGTTTAAATTCAACACATATACATTGTTTGCAACATTTTGCAGACATAATTTTTGTGTAGTGTAATGATAAAGATGGCGAGAAATCATATTGTTGGGATCAATTTTCGACTGACAGTTTTTTTCTTAGATATAATATAAAGAGCCACTGACAGCCAGTCAGAATATATAACTATACTTTTAAAAGGTTGAATTTTGGTTTTGGGGGTCTCTAAGAACAGTTGATTTGATCAAAAAACACCTTTACTGTCTTATAATAAGCATTTATTTGTACCTAATTATCCCAACGACTTTTGTTTGGCGAATCCCTCCTTTGTGTGGCGCTAATCTGGTTCAATGACCTAGTCTGTTGTCATTGGTCAACTACGTTTAGATGCCTATTGTAAGTTCAGAAACGCATTTAACCGATAAAAAAGTCCTGTTGCGTATTTCACAAGATTTTAGATGCAATATGTGAATAAACTATTAAAGAGTTAACCAGAGAAAAAGTGCTTCACATATGACAACGTCAGCATGATGTGGCTAAAGATTTGACACCAAGACGATTCATTAAAAAGACTCTGAATTGATTCTTTTTGGTTTGTTTAAGAATCAATAGTTTTATACACTACACTTTTAGATTAGCCTTCAGCTGGATGTTTTCATCCACTTAGAGCTGTGTTATACAATGCATAAAAGGTCATTTTCAAAAACCCATAATTTGGGGCTTTAAAGCTACAGATGACATTGTGGAGATGACATCTTGTTGATGTCAATCAACAAATTAAGCAAGCAGTGGCGCTGTAGGTAGTGATGTCGCCTCACAGCAAGAAGGTCACTGGGTCGCTGGTTCGAACCTTCGCTCTGTTGGCATTTCTGTGAGGAGTTTGCATGTTCTCCCTGCATTCGCGTGAGTTTCTTTCGGGTGCTCTGGTTTCCCCCAAAGTCCAAAGACATGCTGCAAGTGAATTGGGTAGGCAAAATTGTGCGTAGTGTATGAGTGTATGAGGGTGACAGGCCCAGACGACAGGCCGACCGGAATGTGTATAAAAAAAAAATAAATAAAAAAAAATAAAAAAAATAGTCGAAGGACTTGTTCCAAAGAGTCGACCCCGCAA